ACTTCCATCTCATCGCCCCAAGGATTGTGCCATTGAGATCCTGCCAGAGGCTAAACTTCCAAAACTGAAAATGTACTGCATGTCCCCCAGAGAACTAAATGAATTCAAAGTGTTTATTGACAAAAATCTAAAATGAGGTTTCATCGAACCCACCCAACCAAAAATAGCTGGCCCAGTATTATTCTGCGAAAAGAAACATGGCACCTTATGCCTTTGTGTGGATTTTAGGAATTTAAACACAATCAATGTGGAAAAAAATGTACCCATTCCCGCTATGAAGGAGAAAAAAGGGAAAAACTATTTATTTACAAAAGGTATACTATCGCATCAGAATTAGGAAAGGGGAGGAGTGGAAGACTGCTTTTAACACCCCGCTGGGGTGCTACCAATTTAAAGTATTCCCTTTCTGATTACAAGAAACCCCTGCTGTATTTATGCAATTAATTAATGAGGTAGTCCATGAACATTTATACAAAGGGGTCCTAGTTTATTTTGATGACATTTTAATTTACATCAAAACAAAAGCAGAGTACATAAAACTAGTCCGGGAAGTTCTCACAAAACTCCAAGCCACCAAATTCTCTGCAAAACTCTCTAAATGTGAGTTCCACCAAGAAAAAATTGATTACCTGGGATATAGAATATCCCAAGAAGGAATAGAGATGGATCCACAAAAGGTAAAAGCCACCATTGATTGGGAGCCTCCCGAAACCCACAAACAACTACAAAGTTTCCTGGATTTTGCAAACTTTTACTGTCAGTTCATTCCGGCTTTTATGAATATCACCCTCCTCATTACAAAGTTACTAAAAACAAACGTGGGGGAAACTGAAACCAAGGAAACCCATTAACTGGACCATGGAATGCTAAGCGGCATTCAAAAAAGGTAAACAGCAGAACCAATTCTAAAACAACCATTTGTCATCCAAGCAGACAACAGTAACGTGGCAGTAAAAGCAGTCCTACTCCAAAAGAATTGTCTTTTGATGAGGAACAGAGTTTTTATAAATCCAAAATATCCAGTTATTTTGGAATCATGGCATTGTTTGATGACATCCAGTCTTTGGCTGGCAGGGACATAAAGTTTGTTCTCTACCTAGGCTAAACCGTCCTTAAGTAAGCAAATGTTTTTCTGAGCCTGGAACCAGTCATCCTTAAGTATAAACAGCCTCCTTAAATTTGGAAGCCATTACATTTGTCTGCAAATGGTTCTTTTTGGGCTCGTGCTCGGGTGATTACTTTGGTGAGCTGGGGTGTTTGGAGCATTGATTTAACAATTTCACTGTTTTTGCTTTTATATTGCCGTTTTCTTGACAAGGCATCCACTAAAATGTTCCTCCCCCCCCCGGAGATAATTGAGAGTGAAATTAAAACATTTAAAGTATTGCACCCAATTTACTTGTTTTGGGGAAAGTTTCTGTGGAGTTTTCAGCGCTTTAAAATTTTTATTATCAGTCCAGACTTCAAAGGGGATTTTGTTCCCTTTTAAAAAATGTCTCCAGGTGAGGAGAGCCCATCATACGGCATATTCCTCTTTCTCCCATATGGCCCATCTTTGCTCAGTTTATGTTAATTTCTTGGAAGTGTATGCACATGGTTGCAATTGTCCATGTTTGTTCTGTTGGCCATCCCTTAAAAAAGACATTGAGAGCTACGTTGCTAGCTACCCCATCTGCGCAACTGCAAAAAGATGGCAAGGAAAATCCTCAGGTCTGGGAGGTAGAGCAGAGCCGCATCTCTCCTCCCTGACATGGAATGGCCCCTCATCCAAAGCGGCAACCAACCCTCATTGCAGCGGCAACCAAAATGTCTGCCATGAAGACGGGGACAGTCTGAAAATCTAAGACTCTACATGAGCGAAGTGACGGTGTCTGAACTGGGTGAAAATACTTCTGAATCGCTAAAGGTAATCCTGATAAAAATATCAGGAAAGAGAGCTCACAAGGACTTTTGGGAATTGACTTTTGGGAATTGGAACTATTATGGGAGAAGAATGAATAGAATACAAAGAATTCAATTTTTTAAAGAAACAAAAGATGGGAGGAAAACAAAATAAAGAAAGATAACTTTTAAAGGAATATTTGAAAATTGGAATTGGTGATTGTAGAGGATTTGGCATGGGACAGACATTCTTTTTTAAAAATTAATTGATTGATTGAAAAAGGAATATATAATTAACTTTTGGAAATATCAGCAAATTTGATGAAAGGTTCAAGAAAGGGGGAAGGTGGGAAGTGGGAACTGATTTAAGAGGGCCACCTGCTGTTAAAAGAAAAATCCTGCATATCTCTAAAATTTTGAAATGACCTAATTAAACAAAAAGACCTAATAAAAGAGGAATTGAAAGAAAGAATTAAAGGAATTGTATTGTTAAGAGAAAGTTTAACACTAAACTTAAATCGGTGGAGGAATATAAGAAGATATCCCCTTGGACTATTGAAAAGAGTCAAATGGATTAAATCTGGCACATAAAGGCTCCTGCCTATTTGGATTTACAGTTTGGAAAGTGACACTGGTTTAAATAATGACTGCGGGATAATTTGACAATTGGGTATAAGAAATAGAATAAACAAAAATTAAAGATGAGTAAAATATGCAGAGAATTGGTTCTGGAACTACAGGATAGAATAGATATGATAAGCAGGAGATTTGAGGACATTCTGAATAAAATACAAAGCATGGAAGAAAATCCGGAAATGGAGAAGCTGTGTATCTGTGTATCTGTCATGTCTTCAATGGAATACGGGGGGGGGGGGGGGGGGGGGGGGGGGGGGGGACACGACTTACAAAGAAATCCTTCTTGATGTAACCTGAATATATTTAATATTATATCGAAGTTGTATAACCTACACATGATACAATGGAAGGATGAAACTCAGATGACCGGAATCTATCACTTCTGAGAGACAGCCAGGAGATGAAGAGACCATAACAATTCCACAGTGAGATGTATCCTGGGAAACTCTGGAAAAGATCGTTCTAAAAAGGGGGTGGGGGGAATTAACATGTTGGCTCTTTGTTTTACTAAATGCACATCAAGATAAGGGGAGGGGTTTAAAACTCCCTTATCTATCTCTGCATGCCTGAGACCTTAGACGCTGCTTTTAACCCCTACATGAATTGTCTCATCTCAATAAAGGATTCCTTTTGCTATGTTTTGATACATTTTCAGAAATTCATTCTAGTTGATTGAATGGGAAAAGTTCTGTAGCCTGACAGACACAGAAGGAGGAGGAGTTAACTAGAAGAGAAGCCAGAAAAATGGAGCAGAAGGAACAGCAAATAAAAGGAAAGGGGAAAAAGGAAAGAAAATTTGAAACGCTAATGATTGATGCAATAAACCAAGGGGAGAATAGCCCACAAGAAATGCAACAGGGAAGGGAACTTCAGAGAGAACATTTCGAGAGAATAAGGATAGAATTAGATAATTGGAAAAAGACAGCTGAACATAATAGAAAAAAGAGAAATGATTAAGAGGAAGGGTCAAAAAATGATAGAAAATGGAAGACAAGCTAGGAAGAGATTAATTAAAGCGTTAATGAGAGTTAGAGATGAGGATTCCACATGAATGGGAGTACTATAATTTAAGATATAGAAGATCCCTATTATAGGATTATTATGTAAGTCATATAACTGTTAAAGGTAACATGCATAAGTTCAATATTGTATGGTAGGGAAAGAAATTACATGTGGAATCTGATAGAAAATATGGTAACAGATATGGTAGTATATGGTAACAGATAAAAGTCATTATATTATTATTAGAATTGTACAATTTGTTAAATGAAAATAGAATAGAAATTATGATGTGTGTATTATAATGAGATTAAAAAGGGACTTTGTTTTAAAAAAACATAAAGGTGGCATAATTAAAAACTAAGAAAGGGAATAAACAATGGGTAATATAAATTAATATGAATCTATGAGTGACTAGTTGAATTATATTATAAATTTGTTAAACATTGCAAATATGACAATTAATATAACAAAAGAAGCAATGTTAAGAATATAGATTAACATTAAATAATATATGGAAATACTGAATGTTAAAGATTGATAATATGTATTAATATCAAACGAGATAAGAAAGTTCATAGCACCAATATGAAACTATTGTCATGTTTGTAGTTAAAATATAAAATAACCTGGAATCAGACTGTTCACACAGTGATGTGTTTGTAGATACAAAAAATTTAAAAAATGTATTAAAAAAAAGATTAGCAAAGATGTTTAAGGATAAGTCTGCAAAATGTTGGAAATGCCACGAGACACACGGCTTGTATTATCAAATGTGGTGGACATGTTAAAGTGAATAAATATTGGACAAAAATCCATACATGGCTGGAAAAAATGATAAAACAGCTTACTGACTTGAAACCAGAGATATTTTTGTTGGGCATTTTGCCAGATCAATATAATAAAGGGAATGCATATTTGATTTTGCATGTATTGACTGCAGCTAGAATTGTATTTGTGCAACAATGGAAATGCGAAGAGATCCCAACAGATGAAAATGTGATTAAAAATCCTAGAATGTGCAGGATAGGCTAACACTTATAATTGGGGAAAAGAAGGAAACTGAATACATTCTGACTTAGGACTTATTTTATCAATGGTAGCTGGAAAAAACAGGAGCTAGATATAGGGAAAGAGATGGATATGATTAGTGGATATGATTAGAAAGCCATATTGAATTGGTTAAGAAAATACTATTGTAATTATTATTATTGATACTATTATAATTAACATCAATGTAATTAATATTATTGCAAACTTTTAGATTATTATATCCTAAAAAGATTTGTACCCAGACAACACACTGTTCAATTGAAATTGTAATTTTTATATGCTATAAAAATCAAAACTCAAAAAAGTACATGCATGATAATAAAATAACATTATTGCCATTGTTAAAACTAACAAATAATTTTAAAAATATTAACACATTTACCGAGAAAACTTAGCAGCAATGGCATCAACTTTATGTTAAAGACACTCACATTGCTCATGTCTGGAATGCTGACATCATCCAAGTCAGAAACAATGCTTCCCCTACGATTAGTGCGGCTAAAATAATCAGCTGCAGTTTCCCCATGAGGATGAAAATCACTTGACTTCAGTAACGAAAACAAACAACAAACAAAAACAGATGGTGAGAAAATAGAGGAAAAAAATTCAGAAACAAAAAAGTGTTCATGTGATTCTTATATCTTGATCAAAACTGTTTTGAGATTTTTCTTTTAATAATTAAAAGAAATTAATTTTGATTTGAAAATGTTAAGGCTACTAATAACAGTTTCACAATAAATCTGTGAGTTTTCAAATAAGTCTTCAAATTTTGTCAAAAATTGCAGAATCTGCATTTTGGTTTTTCAAATCAATCAGAGTTAATAGTTTTAATACATAAAGTAATAATGATATTATATACAGTATTTCAAACCTGATTCCAGTAAAAAAAAGTGGTAAAAAAATCCAAATCATCAATCTTCCTAAATATTGGTTTTATAATTTAACGTCAAATATCTAAACATGCTCCTGTATATAACTGTTCTATTACATAATTTTCTGTCGCATATTTTCTTAGTATAGGGCTAGTATACGGATTACTCTCTTCTCTATAGACATTTAAAACACTTCCCTCACTGTGGAAATAACTCAAAAGACACCACATATTCAGATTAAATTTAATTAAACTGAAATAAATTACATGCCTAAAGTATTCTAAAAATTTAATATACTTATTCTTCCAAATCCCTTTTACTAACTCTATCTTATTTCACAACATTAGGGAAAAAATGCTTATTTCTTTTGTAATCATATACTAATCAAATTTATATAATCCTAATATTAATATACACGGTTTTTAAAAAGTAGTTATGCAATATTTCAAAATTCCATTTTAATGTCAATAATGTTATAAGCATACATGGTAATACCATCTTTTACCCTCTAATCTTTTCCATCAAATTATTACTTGTATTCTATTATTAAAAAATTTATATATGTTAATATTTCCCCTATTTCTAACTTCTACCTCTATTTCCACCTCTATTCTAACTTCTAATCTGGTCACCATTGCTAATCCTAATATTAATACACGTTTATATAAGGCATAGTCCTTCATTATTTAGTTGTTCAAAGTCACAATACGCCATTCAAGTACCAGTCTTCCTATTGTTTAAACATACCTTATAATACCCTTTTTCAACCTCCAACCTCCATCTAACGATTACTTCATATGAAGATGTGTATTCTTATTTCTACCTCTACTGAAATTTCTAATCAGACCATCATTATATTAGGAAAAAAGAATGTGTGTGTGTGTGTGTGTGTTGGCTTACCTCCCATGCTCCTCTCTTGGATCTTTATCTCTATCCGTATCTATATCTTCACCATTCAGACTGAATATTCTCCCATCTCTATCCTCCTAAGCTGCCAGGTCTCCAAAATATCCACCCAAGCTGCTATCCCCCTTTCAAAAGTATCTTCCAGGTTATCAGATTCCATTTTTAAATCTCTTAAAGTGCTTTTCTCTTGGTTTATTTCATTAGTCATTATTATCTTTATCATCCTCTCCTTCCCATCTTCTTGCTTTGTTTGCTGGTTTGTCCATTCTGTCTTTCCTTTCATTCTTTCTGCTATCTCCTCTCTTTCCTAGACTCTTTGATCTTCACTCATCATCAATTGTAGGGTATTTTCTATTTTCCCATGTATGCCTTGCATTAGGCACTTTATCTCTCTGTGATTCTTTGCTATAGTATCTCTAATGCTTTGAAACATCAATGCCATTTCTCTTGAAACCTCACTCCTTTCCCCCTGATGGAGCATCTTGTCTTAATTTAATAAGTTCTGTCTTACTCAAATCCAAAAGCAATACAGATGAAACTCGAAAAATTAGAATATTGTGCAAAAGTTCATTTATTTCAGTAATGCAACTTAAAAGGTGAAACTAATATATGAGATAGACTCATTACATGCAAAGCAAGATAGTTCAAGCCATGATTTGTCATAATTGTGATGATTATGGTTTACAGCTCATGAAAACCCCAAATCCACAATCTCAGAAAGTTAGAATATTACATGCAATCAATAAAACAAGGATTGTACATAGAACAATATCGGACCTCTGAAAAGTATAAGCATGCATATGTACTCAGTACTTGGTTTACGGCCCTTTTGCAGCACTTACTGCCTCATGGAAGCTATCACCCTGTGGCGCTGCTGAGGTGTTATGGAAGACCAGGATGCTTCAATAGTGGCCTTCAGCTCTTCTCCATTGTTCGGTCTCACGTCTCTCATCTTTCTCTTGGCAATGCCCCACAGATTCTCTATGGGGTTCAGGTCAGGCGAGTTTTCTGGCCAATCAAGCACAGTAATCCTATGGTCATTGAACCAGGTTTTGGTGCTTTTGGCAGTGTGGGCAGGTGCCAAGTCCTGCTGGAAAATGAAGTCAGCATCCCCATAAAGCTTGTCTGTAGAAGGAAGCATGAAGTGCTTCAAAATCTCCTAGTAGACGGCTGCGTTGACCCTGGACTTAATGAAGCACAGTGGACCAACACCAGCAGATGACATGGCTCCCCAAATCAACACATGTGGAAACTTCACACTGGACTTCAAGCATCTTGCAGTATGTGCCTCTCCATTCTTCCTCTAGACTCTGGGTCCTTGGTTTCCAAATGAGATGCAAAAGTTGCTCTCATCAGAAAAGAGGACTTTGTGTTTTGCTCTATTGTTTTCTGTGCTGTATAGTCCAACTTATTGTCTACAATTCCATTAAAATTTCCCATCATAACTATAATAGCATAGTCCAGTTCGATTATTTTCATATGTAAATTTTTGTAGAATTCTTCTTGATTGTCATTCGGAGCATAGATTGCAATCAGGAGTGTTTTCATATTATTGTCCATTATTTCCACCATTAGTATTCTTCCGTCATCATCGGTATAAATCAATTTTGCTGGGATGGTCTCTTTAATATATAAAACCACTCCTCTTTTCTTACATTGGGTCAAGGAAGTAAATATTTTCCCTAGTTTTGGCTGTATCAACAATTGTTCATATTGTTTTTTAATATGTACTTCTTGTAGATAAATTATATCAAATTTTAATTTGTCTAATTAATGAAAGGTTTTCCTTCTTTTAATGGCTGAGTTAAGTCCATTTATATTAATTGTAATCAGTTTTTTCTGTTCCATGGTTATATTTTGTAGTTAGGTTTGGCAGCTCTCGTAGATCTTAGTTCATGTTGTTCTTTGGCTTCCACCTTTCCACCTACTGCACCTTCTTCTTTTTCAATCGCCATTTGGCAGTCCTCTTGGAATTCAATTAGTGAGATTTCTTTTTCTGCCTCTTCCTCTTTCCCTCCAAAAAATTCTGTATAAAATAATTCCGCTTTCTTAATTGAGTCAATTCTATGTCTCTGTTCTTGCCATGTATATATTAAACCTTCTGGAATCAGCCATCTATAATTCACCTCTTTTTTAAGTAGCATTTTAGTCAGGAATCAGTATTCTCTTCTCTTCTCATCTCTCTCATTCTTCTGGGTATTTGTTTCAAGACCACAATCTCCTTGTCTTTATATTTCAATGTTTTCTCTTTTACCACTTGCAATATTTGCGTTTTAATGGCTTTCTTTGTAGATCTAATGTGAACTTCCCTTGGTAAGCTATTTCTCATCACATATCTTGTGAAAACTCGATAAACCTCATCTATTCCATCCATCATCTTTTCTTGAGTTATTTCCAAAGCTTCAGCCAGTATTTCTATCATTATCTCAGCTAAGTTTTGTCCTTTTTCTTCCTCTACGTTTTGGAATCTAAGATAGAATTCTGATCTATCCATCTCCCATCTCAACATGCCACTTTTATCTTGTCCAACCACCGTTAATCTATTATCAATATCTCCAATCTTCTTGTCTCTTTGTTTATCTTCTTCAATTTTTTGGAATCTCTCATCATACTTCAACATCATTTGTTGGATGTTCTCCACTTTTTCATTGGTTTTCCCTGTTCTTTGTTCAATGTTCTCTGTTCTTTGTTCAATGTTCTCTGTTCTTTGTTCAATGTTCTCTATTCTCTTTTCAATATTCTCTGATCTTGCTTGAATATTTTGAATTCCTTGCATAATCATCTGCAGAGTCACTTTTTCTTGTTCTTTTTCTTGCTTTAACAATGTTTGTATTGAACGTTGTCCTCCAGATGGTGGAGAGGAAGAAGTAGAAGTTGAAGAACCAGGAGCGGTAAATTTCCTACTCATTTAAGCAATTCAAAATCTTCAAGTTCTTCTAAACCTTAATCCAATTGTGAAATAACCAATTGTAGTTCGAAATAAAAATAGTAGAAAAAAGAAGCCAAATAGTAATGATTAAAAAAAGTGGGGGGGAGGACAAAATTTCTTCAGGTTCTTATATACCTTAATCCAATCAGTAGTTAGATGAAGAAAAAAGCTTGAAAAAAAAAGAAAGAAAAGGAAGAATTGTTCAGGTTTTTCAACACCTTAATCCAATTGAGAGGTTTCAAATAGAAAAGAGTGCATAAAAATAAACCAGAAAGGTAGATGAAAAAACAAAAATACCAGGAAAGGAGAAAAAAAGGCAATTCCCTTAAAAAAAAAAGGAAACATTAATACTAAAGCTTTCCCTTTAAAATAAAAAGCAAGCATACAGATTGGACTTCCAAAGAAAAAAAAGAAAAACAAAGACAAGCTCCAACAAAGCCAAAGATCCAAATAGCTATTGCAAAAAAAAAAAAGATAAAATGAAATAAAATAAAGCTGGTGAGGAGGGATAGCACAACTTAGAAAAAGTTTAAAAAGCACATTGCACTTTGTTTAATTATCCAAGGCTCTTATTATAACTCTCTTCTCCAAAAACTTATCACCTTTTTCCCCTTAAGTTTCAACACCAGACTCCAGCTACTGATAGAAACCCAGAAGAGCACCTGCAATAATACTCTCCCATGCTCTTCCCTCTATCTTATCAAATAGCAATGTCCTTGGAAAAAAAGTCTCAGTTCTTTCTTTCTCAGCTTTGTCTGGTCACAGGAGAAATAGAATATTTCCAAGCCTCTAGTTGGCAGTGTTACAAAGTTTCTTTGCTTTCACTTTCCCCCTCCTT